GGCTGGGTGGATGCGGACCCTTTGTCCTCGGCGCTGCCCAGCCCTGCCTGTCCCTGCCCCGGATCCTGCTGCAGCTCACTGTCCTGGGGTGACCCTGCTCCCACGGCGGGGACAGCCCGACCTGTGGGTTAGTAACCTCCTTCCTTGCCGCGGGGCCATTCCCTCCTGCTCGCCCTCTGCCCGCTCCCGGCTCCGATTTCTATTTCTGGGAGGCTGTGGGCTGGCTGCAGGGTTGGTGGCTACAGGGCTAAAGATACAGCTCTCTGGCTGCAGGGGACAGCTGGATATAGGCCCATGGCGAGGTACAAGGAGTTCCCTGGTGCTGCCTCAGAGCAGGCAGGAAGAGGAGGGACGAGCTCGGTGCTGGCTCACAGGGTGGTCCAAGTCCCGCAGCGGTGCAGGGGCCCATGAGGCCAGACCCTTACAGCTGTGCTGAGCAGAACAGCCTGGCTCCAGCCTGGCCATCGTGGGTGCTGGCAGCAGGGAAGGGAGCAGGCATCTCCACTTTCGGAGGCTATTTTCAGGTGCTGGAGAGAAGCCGAGGAGAGATGAGATTGTCACCAAGGAGACCAGAGAAACAGGGCCCAGTACTGGGAAATGGTGGGCTGCGAGGAGAGGGGAGGGAAAGGCTCTCTAACAGACCCAGGGCCCACACATCAGCACCTCCTCTGGGCCCCAAGAACCTGCCCATGCACCCAGCATTCACCTACCATACTGGGGGGACAGAACCCTGAAGCAGCAAGGGCCAGCTCTCAGCACCCAACCCTTCCTACCCCCCCTTGTAAGGTTGGACTGAACTGTTCCCCTTGATTAACGATGCATGGGATAGTCCCTAACACATACGAAAGACTCCAGACCAAAGCAGTTATGCTGGGAGCTGCTTTTCCATGCAGGAGGGTATGTTCACCTGCCACAGGGCAGCAAGAATTACCCCAAGGCCTGGGAAGGACAGGGAAGTGGGTGGTAGCACAAACCCTCCCTGTATCAGAGCCTAGTGAAGCATGGGAAGGGGTGAGCTTCCCACCAGACCCAAAGAGGTCAGGGAAAGGAAGGCAGATGAGAACCAGGAAAGCAGTTGAGTGTTAAAATTTAATAGAAATCCTTGAGAAACAAGGGGAAAATAGAGAGCAGACCCAAGAGAAGAGCACTAGCCTGCAGTCCATGCACACATGCTGCAGGGCACACCAGAGAGCCAATGGCCCTGAGAAGGACGCTCCCTCCCCAGCAGCCCCACTGCCCCCACAACCAACTGGAGCCACACGGGTACCCACGGTCTCTCCGGAGCTTCAATGTGCAAGCCTGAGGTCTCCCATGGGGCCTGTTGATGGGGGAGGGCAGGATGTTGGCACAGACATTCAGAAAGGATAAAACTGGGCAGTTTTACTCTCTCCCAGGCATGAGGACTCAGGACTTATCTCCAGGGGCCAGGCGGCAGCAGGGCAAGAGCAGGCTCAGCTGCCAGCAACTCAGGACACAGACACAGGCGAGCAAAGGCTCAGCCTGTGCTGACTGGGGATAGAAGGGCAGGCTCAGCCAGCTCTCACACAGCAAAGAAACCACAATGTCAGGCTTTCTCAGTCTAGGACAGAAGCCAGATAACCCCCACTTCCTCCAGCTTTGCCACTTGCTTTAGAAAATGAAGTCACACAGGCTTCCTCTTTGCCTAGGAAAACATCTCTCTCTACAACCAGCCCCAAAACAAGTGTGCAGTGCAAAGGGCTCTCACAGTCCTTGCTCTACAGAGCCAGTTCCTATGTCTTCCTTTGAGGTAGGTTGATGTGTCCCCAGGGAGGGACGGTGGCTGCTTGGTCACATCACCAGGGCAGTGTCTTTGAGGCAGCCAGCAGGTCTCTGGTTGGCTCCATCAGTGCACTTGTTGAGAGGTAAGCTCTGAGCAGGGCTGGGCTCCAGGCATCTTGTGAGATCCTCACCAGCTGAAGGGAGGCATGAACTGCAACGAAAAAGGACTGTGAGAAAGAACCAAAAGGACCATGGTGCAATAATCATCTGCTGTATCACGACACAGGGACTCAGAGACAGGGCTGCCAGGCTTATCTACTCCATCTCCCATTCCAGGCAATGCCACTGACCCCAACAGGTATCCCAATATCAGTGGGACTGCAGGGTCACAGCTAAGTCTTCCTGTCTGTGTGTAAACCCAACTCCACCCTGGCCTCAGCACAGGAACAGTGATGACCTTTCTCTTAGAACCAGAGACCAGGGGTGTGCCTCCCTTTCACTTTGTCTCATCCAGACAAACTCCAGTCCTCCACCTCTGCAGGAAGCTGTCAGCAGTCCAGCTTTGCATGGGGAAGCTGGGAAAGTGCAACAGACCTGGAGACCTCACTGTTCTCTCAGCCAGTGCTGCAGCTGAGAGCCTCTGCTCACTGTTAACCACATCAGTGTCCACAGAAGTGATACAAGTTCCAGTGCAGGGAATATCTTGTCAGCATGTTCTGACCATGACAGCTCCAAGCATCACCTAATCTGGCTGTTCTGAGCTTCAGAGTTCCCATCTAAGCTGGGTGTACAGTGCAAAGATGCCCAGTTGCACAGATATCATGCCAGCTCCATCTGTTGGCTCCTCAGTGAGCAGAGGCTTCAGAGCCTGCAAACCAATCTGCTCCTCTCCCTTTAATAAAGCTGCTTTTAGGGCAGCCAGTTTTCTACCAGGACACCAGTCCGAAAGCCACACTATGAACACCATGAACATCATGGCCAGTGCAAACTCACCCCAGTTTGCCCAGTTCCAGTTTGCTGAAGCCATTTGATGGAATGCCACTCTTCTGGAGGAACAACGACTTTGGCAATGACCACTGTGGAAGGAGAGGAAGACAACAGAATGGCTATTTAAGTCATGGCAAAAATCCCTCAAGCCTGCTGTGCTTTGCCATAGGCTTCCCTAGAGAGCTTGAGCTAGAGCTGCTCCACTGCTGTGCATTGTCACTGCCACCAGACTGTTCCCAGAATAGCAAACAGAGCAATCTTTGCTCTCTGCCTAATGAATCCCTCTGCTCAAAGTGGGAGTAGAACATCTCGAGGTCAAGAGTGGGTTTCTTTCAGAGCAGCATTCTGCTGTAAGGCACAGGAGTGACAGACAGAGATGACTCCCTCACAGAGAACAACAGTGGTCAGAACAGGTGCCAAATATGTAGGGCTGTGCCCAGTGCACCCAAGGATATTCAGATGCAAAATACTTGCAGATCTAATATACTGTTCATGACTTCATGTTTGTGGGAAATAGGGCAGCATGGGTTTTTCCAGACTCCTGGAGGCCTTGGCAAAGAGGGAAGAAGGCAAACAGGTAAGACAGGAGGCAGAAGAAGCAGAGCAAGCAGGATCTTTACCCAACTCTGTGCAGGTAAACAACCATTCTGTGCCTACTTTACCCCCACTTATACATACCATTTGGGCCAAATCCGTCCTTGCCCCAGTGTGGTACCCTTTGACACACCAGTTCTTCAGTAGCTCCAGACCTGGGAAGTGACAGAAGACAGAAAGTGAGAATGAACAGCCAGGTTTACAAAGAGTTAAGCCTTTCCAGTTCGGGGCATGCAAATATGCTGCACTGACCACACAGAATATGCTATGCAATAACTACTTGAACATGCGCCTGAGTGCCAGTAAACACGGGGTAAACCCAGGGCGTTCACCCTTTGTACGAGCAAACATCAGTGCGTGGGCTGCTGCAGTGCTTGCCTTCCTCCCAGGGAGCCAAGACATTCCTTGCAGCAGGCTCAGCGAAACAGGAAAACTGGGGCAACACAGGATTTGCCGAATTAGACCAGATTGGCTGTCCCCCTGAGCCCAGTGCCTGCCAACAGCAGTACCTGATTTGGGCTGCACCGGTGAAAGTTCCCACCGTGCAAATGTAGAGCAGCTTTGCTGTCATTGACCCCTTTCCCAGAGGAGGGCAGCTCAGGCAACCTCCTCCTTGCACAGCACAGATCAGCTGCAGCATTCCAGTGCATCACCTCCACCCTACAGGGATCCATCCAGAGCTCAAGATGGGCTGAGACTTCATCCCTGACAGAGGGCACAAGCTGAGATCATCGCTGGTATGACTGGAAGGGACCAATTCTCTCACCACACACAAGACATTGTGCTCCAGAGCACAGCAAGGTCATTTTGAAGCAGAACAATGTGTTCAACTGCACAGAAGAGGCTCCACTTCCTCTAGGGCTTTCTGCAAGCTGACTCCCCCTACAGCCAAGCACCCTGCTCTTTGGCTAACCCAAAAATATTGAGAAATCCTATCCTGTTTTCTTATTTAAGAGCCTTAGGGTCATAGGAGAAGGCTAGGGTGACTCAAGAATTAAAAACCAGCAGAGCAAAGGCTAGTCAATTGATGCTGTCCAGCTGGCATTACTGTGGTTTTCTATAAGATACCAGGAGAAATTCTTGCTGTCCAAAGCCTGTTCCTTGGTGACCTTTCAGCAAGTCCCAGAACCTTGTAAAAATCCCCCACTTGTTGGGGGCCAAGGGGAGCAGGGCGGCTCAGATGCCTTGTGCTGGCACTGTGCACCAACCTGGGCTTTGCACCTTGCTGGCTAGAGAAAGAGGGGTGCTGCATGGAACAGAGGGGAACAGGAAGGGGATGGGGGAGGGTGAGCTCTGCTCAGAGGTACAGAGCAGTGATGGGATAGAGGAAACCTGCTTGGTTTCTTTGGGGAAGCTGGAGCACTGAAGCAGAATCCTTGCCTGAGCTGCAAAGTTCAGGGCAGCACTTCAGTGAGGATGATGACAGAATCTTTCTCACAGTTGATGGAAGATCATCCAGCAAAGATATTAGCAAGGCAAAGGATGACACATGCTGACAACACAGCCAGAGAAGGCTATGATGTTACCGTCTCTCTGCTTTAACACCAGTGAAAAGTGACAAAAGCATTTGTCTGCTTTCTCTCCTTGATAGCCAGGTGAGGAGCACACAGTCACTGCAGTGGAGGGCCAGCTCCTCCAGAAGCCTCTCCATCTAGATCAGCTATTGCATGGAAAACCCTCAGCCACAGCCTCTTTTTATTTTCTCTAACCCTTCATGCTAGATCTCACTGACTCTCCCCCAGAAACAGTTTGTACTGCTGCCCTGGTAGAGGCAACCCTGAATGAAAAGGAATTGGTCCAGGCCAGCTATGCCTCATTAAAGGATAATGTTTTTATTAAAATACAGAATTGTGTCCTGAAAGGATGGAAATGTTAGCTAGATTTCTAGTGTTTAGGAAAAAATTCCATTCGTACGCTGACTGTTTTTCATCAATTAAAAAGCTGCAGGAGACCAGGGAATAGGCCCAATTTTTCCTTCACAGATCACTAGTCAGGAGCAAAGCCCAGCAAATCCAGCTGTTTCTCCATCAAAAGAGAGCAGAGAAACACAGTAAGAGGCCAAAACTACAGGTTGAAGGCAAAATCCCAGTCTGCTTCATGCTCAGGGCACCTAGAAGTGCTGGTGCTGTGTGTACCAGAACAGCCATCAAGTCAGAATAAGCTTTTTGTGATATGTGAAGCAGTCTGGGAAGGTAACACATTTCCTGGGGGTTAGTATGCAGGCAGGCAGCTCCCCCTCAACATGCATAGCTCAGAAATCTCCCACGACTGCTGGCAGGCAGCCTGCCTGAGTCAGGTGGTTGTGCCATGCTTTGGAGGACAGTTACCTTTGTGTCTATTCGAGTAGTACTTGAGCTCCCACTGGGTGACCAGGATGTTAAAGTAACGGGGCTGCTCGAAGAAGCGCAGGTAGCGCATGGAGATGTGGCTGGGGAACACCCGCTCGAACTGCCCGCGCCGCGAGTACTCATCCTCTGTCTCCACCAGGACACGAACGTCATCTGGAGTCAGGATGTCCAAGACAGAAGAATAAAAATCCTGCAGACAAGAGCAACCCAAGGTCAGGGAGAAACATCCCTGCAGAGGTGTCCATGTGTCTGAGATCTTTGGGAAACTGTGGAAGGAATCTAGGCTCAATGGTGACACCAACGCTGCACAGAACTTAAGAGAACACCAATTCTGCAGCCCAGCCTCTCTTAAATACACTGGCAGGAGGCACACAAGGCCAGTGACCCTACTAACCCAGCACAGGGGTCAGCTGGCAAAGGCTGCAAGAGCTGCACAGACATATAAGGAGAAACAGGCAGTGCTCAGACTCTGTTTGGGGACTGGTGGGTAATATGCCCCTCAGCACACATCTATTTTAATGTACAGGTGAGTCAGTGAGACTGTGTCTTAAGCAAACCCAGTTTATTTCTGACCAGCTGTCTTGTAACCCACTGAAGCCCAAGTGCACCCCATCATCTGGCTGACTCCAGAGAAGAGCACAATCTGAAGTGGGACAGACATGTGGGACTGGCTGGGACATGGGGTTGGCATGATGATGCAAGTAACAGAGGAGGTTGTTTTGTACCTGGTCAGGTATCTTCTGCATCAAGTAATAGACCTTCTTCATCTTCTCTGCTCTCAAATGCTCAGATATTGGCTTGGACTTCTTCGAAGCACTGCCCATACTGAGGACACAAGAGAGACAATAGAGCATTTAAGTAGAGAAGACAAAGTCTTGTCATGGCAGAGCTGCTCCCAGTAACTTCTGAGAGAGTAATGACACCCTCATGAAAATGACATGGAGGAGAGAACACTTTCTCCAAGGATTTCACTAGTTCTGAGATCAGTGATGGATCCACAGCCTTGAGCATCAGCACAGAATGTGGGAAGGATGTGGGCAGGGAAACTGGGAGGACTCTGCCAGACCCTCTCTAAGGCATTTCAGTGATCCTTCACCCAAAAGGTGAGCCATCACCTCACACTCACATAAGATGCACAAGGGTCAGAGACACACCATGATGTGATTCACAGCACATGAAGCCTGGTGGGATCTCATGTTTCCATCCCACTTGGAACACAGCTTCCTAACTGCAAGTACAGGGATGGGGGTGCAAGTACCCAGTACTAGTATCATACAAGGAAGAAGAGAATTCTTAGATCAAAAACTTCCTCTGGCTATATTGAAGTACCCTCAGGACTCAAAGTCAGCCACATGCCATGGGAAGTCCTGGCCTTTTGTATTATCTGACCAGCAACCATCTATTCTAAACACCAACTTAACTTTTGGGGATGCCAGAATCTGGGAGATACTTCTTGAAAACCTTTTAACCCATCTATCAACATAGCTTTTTTTTTTTCTGCTGCTGCAAAACTTTAGTTGTGTGCATCTCCAAACAGGGAGAGTAGAACCTTGAGTCTGTGCCACATGGTGCTTGGGGAACATGCAGATCTACTGGAATTCTGCCCATATGCTAAAAAATCCCTTCATATGCTTCCCAGGGCAGGAAATACAGTTAAACAAGCTTGCCTCTGGATGCAAGAAATCTGGTAATGCATCATCTGAACCATGTTAAGGATCCACTTAATCCCCTGCAGGTCTTTCTGAGGACACCTGCCCTTCAGCACTTCCACTGGAAGTGGCAAACCAGCATGTGATCAAAGCACCGCAGACGAGCTGGTGAGAGCTCCCCATCTGGAACAGACCCATGTTCCCAGCTTCTCCACTGAAGGCACAGGACACTCAGGGCAAGAGTCCCATCTTTTGGCATGCCCACACATCACTGCATGCTGGTGCTTAACCAAGCAAGCTGATCCTTCAGTGACATATGGCCAGCAGCCATTCTGCTACAGACTGGTTTCCTTCCAGCCATCAGGTCTGAAACCAGGATAAGCCCTAGCTGTGGTGAAACACAGAAGTATTAGGGGTCCGGCTGGACACACACCCAGGAACTAGCATTCTGAAAAAACAGCCATGTTGGCTGTGAAATAAGACTTTGCACACCTCCACCCATAAATTGACAGCATGTGACACCTGCAGTCCTGCCTAAAGAACTGATCACTCCAGCATTTGCAAAATAACAGGTGCTCCTCTTGCTCCAGGCTGCAGCATGTCAGTTTTGGTAAGTCAGAGGGTAAGTGGATCCAGCCCCAACAGAGCCAGCCAGTCCTCCAAGCAGAGAGGCAGTAAAACTTAGCATCATATTAGTTCTGGCAGGGGGAAGGACAAGAGAACACGACTTGACAAACTGCAGAGCAAGCACAAATTACACTGGCCTCACTTCCAACTATGGACCTGCAGAGAGGGCATAAATCCTTCTGCATTGAAGAGACCACAGGAACCAGATACTCAGGCAAGGAGACAAGTTCTTTGGACCCATAGCTTAAACACCAGCAAGCACAGGCTCTCAACAGCTAGAAGCCAGTATTTGCTGGGCTCCAAGCAGCCCCCCCAGATGAAATCCCTCAAGAAAAAAGTCTGCTTCTCTAACAGAGAAGGAGGATAACCTGTAGGTAGAGCAACTTCTTGTCTGTGTCTCTGAAGCCACACTGTCCACGCTGGGCAGAACAAAACCAGCGAGGTTGAGGAGGTCCCGAATCATCTGGCCCTTGATGCTCACATCCAGTGGGGAGTTGGAGTGGAGGCTGCAGAGAGGAAGCATCACAGCAGCCTGAGTGCTAGAATGGAGGGGTTGAGCCCCATGGCCCCAAGATCAATCCCTGCGTTATCACTGACTGAGACACAAACACCAGTCTGTCCCTTGCCTTGTGAAACCGGCCACAAGACACTGAGAGAAAAATCCTGACAACAGAGCTTTGAAGGGGTGGCTTCTTATCAGAAATAGTTAATTTTTCCATCTCTTCTCAATTTTGCTAGAAATAGGCAAATCCATCCCCAGAGCCGTGTGCATGGCTCTGTGTACAGCTCATGCCCACCCACTCTCACAGACAGGAGGGGCCATGCTGGTTAGACTGCAGCTCTCAGCCCTGCCTGCACAGCTGACACCACAAGGCCGGATGCGGTCAGGAAGTAAAGAACAGTGCACGAGGCAGTGGAACTGCTGACTGCTTCTGCCCACGCAGAGAAATCTCTGCCATCACCCGTTCTGTACAAGACACATCCCTCCTTGCCTTCCTTTTTTAACATGCTCTTCCCTGGCTCTAGCTGGAGCATGCCCAGAAAAGCTTTCTGAACTGCAGAGGAATGTTGCTTTCACAGACAGGGAGGGCTTTGATTCCTGCAATCTGGAGAGGCAAGCTTCAAAGCCCATCATCTTTCAGCACAGGCTACAGGGGACATTGCAAGCCAAACTCACTTTGTAGTAAAAGAAAGGCCATTATCCACTCTGCTGTGGCTCAGAATATGCTTTACCTTGGGGAAATATTGACTTCTAAGATCCAGGGCTTGAGGTTTTCATCCAGCATGATATCAAACCCAAACAGCTCATGGCAACAATACGGCCGGCGCACATACATCTTCACCAGGCTGTTCACGTAGGGCTCAGAACTGCAAGCCAAGAAAAAAAAGCTTGTTTCCAACAGTCAGACAGACAGCAGGGCTCTGGCTGTTCACAGCACGCGTTGACAGTTCTGGAAGTGTAACGCAGCCACGTGCTGTGGGAGCAGGTGGGCTGAGGGACCAACACAGGCCTGTGTGTTGCTGCTGCCACACCACAGATGGATCCAGCACTGCATCTTGAGCATCCCTGCTGTGTCAGGTAGCATCCACCTCTGAACACAAGATTTATCCTGCACCAGGGACCATTCTCTCAGGCTCCCAGGCAAAGCAGGGGAGTGGGTGGCAAGCTGGGCAATTTTGAGTACACTGCATCTTTCTGGCCTTCAGGCAGGTCAGGGAAATATAAGATCTATCTACCCACTGCAGCTATTGTAGCAGGAGCATAAGTAACAAGGTGAAAGGAGGGATCTACAGAGAAATACTGAAGCCAACAGCAGTGATACTATTTCAGTTAAGAACAAAAGGACCAGGCTGAGAAGAGACTGTACAGTCTAAAAGGGCCAAGGTGCACCTCACAGACACACAGAGCAAGGGGTGCCAAGACTCACGCAATGATGGTTTTGATAACGATGTCCTTAATCTTCTCCCAGATGGCCTCACAATTAACTCCTTTCTGGGTCAGGTAACCCCAGAGAGCTTTGAGTGCCCTGTGAGAGAGAAAAAGCAAAGGAGCTATGGGGATTGTTGAAGGAATTTTGAATGAGTTACAGATGAGGTTTTCCAGTTGTTTTAGATGATGTGGTTTATTTTTTTTATCTTCTACATAGGTAGGAAAGGTGAGTTTGGTTCACATCTTTACGGTGTGGTTCAGAAGGTCACAAGATGGCTAGTTACAAGACCTTTTAAGGATTTACTGACTAATAAAACACTGCTAACAAGGACATTTATGTTTTTGACCTGATTTTTAAATATTTCATCTTATGGACTCGTTACAGTGTAAGCCTTCTGAGCCAATAATGTTATGACACACAAACTTACACAAAACTCTAAAACTCTAAATTTTCTTCCACTTAGTTTAACATGTCTCTGTCTCAAATTATAAATCTATATTCTTGCTTCTAGCACCTAAGTTTGGAAGATTTTTCCAAGGTCTTAGATCAAATCTTGTGTTTAATTTTAAGCTTTGGCTTACAGGCCCAAAGTTCTCAGAATTCCTTGCATTTTGGATTCCAACATGTAGCCCCTTGCTGCTGGTAGTGAAAGCAACAGAGGGGAACCCTGACAGTACTCTTCCCTGACATGGCAATCCTCCTGACATCCTCAAACCTCTCAGTTCCTAGTTACTGCTCTCCCCAGCCTGGCCCCTGGTTTTGAAGGCCCAAGCTACTAGGAACATGAATCTGTCATAGACTTCTCTCAGCACAGTCCCAAATTAGCACATGAGCAAGGTAAGTCAGGCCCAGATCTTCTCTTCCCTCCCCCTCCATGTCCTCAGCAAACCTCCCCTTCCTGCAGGCCTTCCCCCGCAGCACTGCAAAGCAGCTCAGCAGGAATCCAACAAGACCCCAAAAATGTTTTAGCTAAAGCCACTTCACTGAGGCTTCAGGGATGAAAAGAATTTCTGAAAAATGTGGTAACAAGATGGTATGGGGGAGCATCTATGCTTTTACAGGAGTTTCCCATACCACACTGAGTGCTGCAAGCTACTCTGACACTGAGCCAAGGATGCTGAGATATTTCTCAAGTGAGACCATGTGGCTAATGGCCAGGAATCCAAAGGTCACGCTTCCTGCATACAAGATGGAGTGGATTACAGCCACACTTATCTTTAACATAGGAGCAGCCAGCATTGACGTGCATGCAAGTATGTGAAACCCACACAATCCCACCTCCATGCAATTGCAACTGCTGAGGGGCAGCAGACCCTGCTAAAAGTCCCAGTGGAGGAAGAGACCACTGTGAAGCAGGTCCAGGTCTAAGTGATCTGGCCACAGCCAAATATCTTCTGCAACTCCCTTTGAGTGCAGTAGCCCTGCCTAGGCTGAGAATTGAGAACTCAATCCCACACTATTTTTAAAAGGGTTTAAACACCACCATGGAATCAGAGACAAGTTCCTGGGGCTTGTATCCATTCACCCATGGGACAGCAAGCAATGGGAACTCCTGCAAAATTGCAGCCCTCCTCCCAAATGCCTAGAAATCGCACCACTGCTCCCATTCCCAGGGTAGCACTAAATAAACAGTTCTGAACCACAGTTGTCCCCTTCTCTGCCTCCACAGCAAAGTCAAGAATGAGACAGGCAGAAGCTCCTATCAAGCCAATTTAAGCATCACCCATTCAATATCTAACAAAAACCAATCAGATTCTGCTTTAACCACATCCCATCACCCCCACAATAGGGGAAGGGGATGAATGAGCAGAGATGAGTGCAGTGTTGGAAGCAGGGAATGGCACAAACACAGGCAGGATGAACAGCACTTACAGATCAAACAGTACTGGACAGGATGAGTCACAAGCCAGGGAGACTATCCAGATTCCATTGACACTAACTCATGCTAAAAATCACTCTGTTCTTCCACTTTCCCAAGTGGGAGCAGATGATACAGAAAGCAAGTTCAAGTTTTGGGTAAGAATACTGAAAAAAGTCTGACTTAATGGGAAATAGAAAGAGCTGCCTTGTACCCTAAAAGCAGCACCTACCATTTGTGTCCCTGACAAGCAGTCTCATCCGAGTTGGGTTTGTAGGCTGCGTTCTTCTTGTTCACACTGTAGTTGGTCAAGTGAATGAACTTGTTGCCAAGGCTCTCCACTGAGGAGGAGTACCTGGAGAAGGCAAGAGGATCACAAGCTCTCCAAGACTGAAGTGGCTGTCCCCAGTCCATGAGGCAGGCACAGACTTTGTTCTCATCTCAGAACACTCTCAGCCATCCACCAGCCCCACTGCCTGCAGCTCTCTGTCCCCACAGGCCCAGAGCTAATGGAACAAAACATGAGACAGAACAGGCTGCCTTGGGACAGTGGCAGGCAATCCCACCCTCACAGCATATCCTCAAGAAATAAGAGTCAGAGTATCAGTGAGCAAAAGCACTGATGGTACTGCAACAGCCTGAGGCAATACAATGAAAACTGGAAGAAATGTCTCAGTTTCTGGTGTGCCAGCTTTTATGCAGAATGAAGCACAGACAATGTATTTCAAGAACTGCTTTCGACTGAGCTGATCTTTCATTGGAAAGGTTGGATGTAGGCAGCATCCTCTCACATTCCCTTTCACAGTCACCTGCAGCGACCTCATGTGTTTCCACACAGCCTCTTAAGCAAGCAAGGTACGGCTTTAAGCATTATAGGGCTTGACTCCCTCTTGCCCCAGCCAAGGCACACACCACAGCCACAGGTGCCTGGGCACCAAGGCAGCCCCCAGCACTGCTCTCCTGCACAGCCTACCTGCAGCTGGCAAAGCGAACCAATCCCTCCTTGAACAGGTAGACCCTGAGGGGATCATAGCAAGTGACGTAAACATAGAGCCTCAGGTCAAACTTCTTCCCGCCAATGAGGTAGGGCTTTTGCAGGTATCTGCAGAGGGAAGGAAGCACATAAGGGTTGGGATTTTCATATGCAGGGACATCTCTAACCCCCAAATCAGAAGCCCTGGCAAAACAAGGGATCAATGCAGAAATCTTTATGCACAGCATTTCCAAGTTAATCACATCACAGACAAAATGACAGAAAGAGCAGCTCTCCCATTCACAAGGAGCTCCTGCAGCACATAACAACTGTTTCCTTCTGCTCACTTCCATTTTGAAGAGATTTTCCTCAGTTTTAAGGCACAGTAGCTTTTCCACACCCACAACGCTGATCACAATTTTCAGGAACATTTAAGACATGCAGTACACCACCGATGGTTTTGTACAGTAAGCAGAAACAGCTGGGTATTTTAATCCAACTCATTTGATTATTCACCCCAGAGGTTCATGATTTTCCATAGGAAAGTTTATCTCTCTGCAGAGAAAGTGGACAGGGAGAACTAACAAGCAAACACAACAGTTCCCTGTCTGCCAAACACTGCAGTTTTCCTGCTCTCACAAGAATCTTCCCAGATTCAAATCAAGATGTACTATTCCACTTTTCTGCAGAAGGGGAAGGAGATTGAGAATGCTGTTATTTCAAGAAAGTCCTTTGCATCTACATGCACCGAGGCTCTTACTGAACCATTCTAACTTGGTTAGAAGAATAAGAACAAATCTTTGACAACTGCCACCTCTTCCCTGGGACTTCACTTCCCACTGTGCTTGTGTGAACTGGATAATATTTGTTTGTCTCCAAACATGCCAAACCCCAGAGTACAGAGCAGTGGGAGCCGGATCACAGCAGAGCTGAAGCTGTCCACCTGCCAGACAGAAGCTCCAGAAAGCTCACGAAACCAAGTTGTGTCTGAGACCTCAAATATCTACAGAGACTGCAGCACTGCAGTAAGCCCAGTTGCAGCTGATGGAGCCAAACTTCCAGCAGCAGGACAACCAGGCAGTCTCCAGAGAAATCTCCAGATACAAATCAGGTACTTTTGCTTTGCCACATACTAGCAGGGGCCCAGAACTGGCCAGAGATACAAGACATTAAAAGGTCCCAGGCTGTGTGTCAACCTTGGTTTTATGTTCACTCACCTCTGTACTAGCAGTGGTCTCCTTTTGGGGAGCTGGCTCCATTTGTGGATGACCTGGATACCATTGCCTCTTGCTGATGCTGGCTGCAAAACACAAACAAGAAAGAATCAGATCTTCTCCCTGCACCTACAAAAAGACAGAGGATTGAGTTCTGCTTTACACCTACTGGTTTCACAATCCATTTCTGTCGGCTACCTCCTTCCTCCCATGCTTTCCTGAGTGATTTGATGTCCTGGGGCAGGATGAAGGATTGAGGGAAGAAATTAAACTCCTTTTTCCCACAGCGAGCCTGCATCTTTAACAGGTTGCGCCACAGACGGTCCTTCCTTCCAATTTGAAATGAACCAGGGAAGTGGTTTAGCTGGAAAGGAACACAGATGCTATGAGATCTCTCTGCTTCCCCTACTCCTTGCCCACCCCTTTCTGCTCCCTTGGCAGAGGATACATCCTCTCTGAATACAGTGCAGGGTAACAGTCTTTGCTCCCCTCCCAAGATTGCACCCAAACTGATCCCACTTGTTCCTGAAGCTTTGCAGGGACAAACTGCCTCATTTGGAGCATCACAGCTCTTCAGAACAGGCATGTACTTGTGACAGACACCAAACCCTTGGTCCCTTGCAGGTTCTCATGCCATGAGCTACACCTGACTCTTCTGTGATCAGAGTAAGGTACATGCCCTTCACTGCACTGGCAGTGAGGGCATTGTCCCTATCCCTCAGTTCTGCCAGAAGGAGGACTGCATTGCTTTAAGCAGCTATAACTGAATTTAGAGAAGCTCACAAATAAACACAATTTGGCTACAGCCTCAGTCCATACAAGAGCCACCCTCACAGCAGAGATGCCCATCCAGCTATGCCTGTCTCTTGGACTCCCCTCCCAGTTCTGGAAGGGACACTACAGGGACAGCTGGCACAACAAACACTTGGCCCTGAGCAGAGGGGCACCCAAATTGCTTGCAACACACTCTCCATGCACATGAAAGAGGTCAGCAAAAAACAGCCCCTACCTTTTGGTGCTCCCTGATGGCTTTGAAACCAGGGGATTTCATGTGGTTGCCCCAGCAACCCAGCCAGTCAGTGCTTGCTGCCGGAAAAACAGAAAAGTCCATGACTGAGTACCCTGCCACCCATAACACCTGCTCAACCCACAGCACCCCATCTCCTTAGGCTAGCAGAAGTGTGCCAGGGATGCTGTACAGCTATAGCACAAAGCACTCACATTTGCTACTGCAAAGCTACCAAAGCAAGGGCTGAGTGGCATCCAGTTAACCAAGTGGGTCATATTGCTGCAAATATGACTGGTTGCAAGGACCTGAAGGGTCAAAGGAATGCCTTTAATTCCCCAGCATCCTGACTTCCCTGCACTACAGCTGGCAAATGAAGCAGTTGGCTAATGAATGCTGTGCTGCTGAGGGACAGGTAGGTGTGCCATAACTACTTAGGACTTCCTCTGCCATCCATGTCTCATTATAGCCTCAAAATAGTCTGTGCAGAGGTCTCCGGATACATGCAGAAGTCCAATAAACTTCCAGGAGATCACATTCCAGAGTATGGATCATAGCTGCAAATGCTCAGTGCTTCTCCTACACTGTCCTTGGGAAGTGACAAGATTCCCAACCCTGAGAACTCTATCTATGGCCAGAGATGTCTTCCTCTTCAGTATATGGGGACAAGGAGCAGCAGTGCTGGGCCTGGCACTACTCAGAGTGGCAAGCCAGAACAAACCTGCCTCACATCTGCCTCAGTTCAGGAGTAAGCCCTTGTGGACTATGCCAGGAACAAGCCAAGAGGCAGATCAGGCCCTGCTGGGACCCACAGATGTTGGATACTGCAGGTCAGACAGGCAAAAACATGAACCCAGCATCCTACAGAGCCAAGCCTGTATTGCTTCTGTTCTGTTCTTTGCAGGCATTCTGCCTTCTAGTGTCCAGCCGCTGGAGGCAAGGAAGGACACAATGCTGCCTCCCAACTTACTTTTGCTAACTCTGAAGTGGGACCTGCCAATGGTCTGCTTCACTATGTTAGGTGTGACACTGCACAGTTTCCATCGCAGCAGCTTCCTCTGCTCCCAAGGCAGCTTTTCCACTAGGAAAGCAAAAAGTTAAAGACTGAAGGAAAACAAACACAATACTTGGATTTACTACAGCTGCAAAATTCTTATGGTTTGCTGCACAGGCACCAGGCCTGTAGATGAGGGTGCATAGCCCTCTTTGCAGAACTGTCATGGAGCAGAAGACGCCACAGCTGGGGGAGATACAGGACACTGGAACATTGAGTGGCAGCCTGAGTCATGCTCCAGACATTGGAAATAACGGTTTACTGCAGTCATTTGGATCTCACAGCAGTGTTGGGTGTCATCATGGGAAGGGTTAAGGGCAGCCACTGCCAGCCAGCTCCAGGCTGTGTGCTGGCACCACCTGCTCCCTAATTATGGGCTGGCCACTCTCACCTTGTGTAACAATAGACTGTGGCTCACCTGCCTCATCCCGAGTACTGAAGTAGATAGTTGGAGGCACATTAGGGAATAAACTGCAGACAAGAGCTGGTTTGAGCACTTTGTCTTGAGCCCCAGAAGGCTGGGCCAGGCAGTCAATGCGTTTCCTAAGAAAGATGAAGCAGTAGTCAGCTGGCTAAAAGTGAAAAGTAACAAAGGAAGAGGGAAGCCGGAAGGAGCCTTAATCTGGATGTCAGGAATTTGCACCATCATTGCAATGTGGTGCAAGCAGCGGGCACCAAGGTCAGTAACTCAGTCTGCAGCAATGAGGGGATGATTCTGCAATGAATGCACATGCCAAATACCCACTGTGGAGTTTTTGATTTTCTGGGGCAAGGAGTGGAGTCTTTTACATGACAAACCCTATAACCTAGTCCAAGGGAACAAGGAGTGGAGATTGTAATACATATTATTTAACTGTTGCAACCCTCATGGTTTTGCTGTATTGCAGGGAAGAGGGATGGAGTTTTACCCACTATATGTACACCTTACCACAGCAAGCCCCAATACCTGGAAGGAGGGATAGGGATAGAATTTGTAATGTTTCTATTAAGATTGTGATGAAGTGAAAAGTAGGGTTTGCAATGAATGTATATTCAAATATATGCCACTGCAGCCATTGGAAGAAGCCACACCAGAGCAATCCAATAAAGAACAAAGAGCAGCAAAAGAAAAGGAACTACAACACACTATCAGCCAATCTCTCAGGCCACCCCTTGCCTCACTGAAGGGACTGAGTGTAGCTTGTCACAAAAGAATTGGAGACCAGGCTGAAGGAAGAAGAGGTGTTTTATCAAAGTCCTTGGTTTGTTGGTTTTTTTTTTCAGTACTGAAATCAATAATTAAAAGTTTATTAATTGGAAAAGGATTATATTGCTTAACATTCTCTGGCACAAAGCTGGTTTTGCCCACACTGGTTCTGCCCACACAAACTGAAGGCAGGAGACAGCTGCAAAGGTTTCAAGGCCAGGCCAGCACACACCCTGCACAAAGAAGTGGTGAACACCCCTCCCTCCTTGCTGCAAGAGGCATTTAGCCCAAGCACTCCTTCTCCCCATCTGCCCCAGAGGCCAACCAGACACATCCTGCCAGAAACAGCTGCTGGGCCAGTTTACATCACCTCTCCAGGACTTTCACAACCACATGTGCACACCCAAAGCCCTGCAGCACCCTAAGGCTCAACACTTGCTCACAGAAAGCCTTGCTTGTCTCCCAGATTAGTGATGATATGATTGGAAGCAGCAAGTTATCAGGCAGACAGCAAAGCCTGAGGCAGCCCTGGTGCAAGATGAGCTCCCACTGCTGGATGGGCAAAAACAGGTCCAACAAAGGTCAGCCAAGAGTCATGAAGGCAGGGCTCAGATGACCACAGGCTGACCAGTGCTCCCCAGAAAAAGATTCTCCCAAAAGTTAAAGAAAAATCCAGGCTCCAGGACTTGCTTCTAGGATGCTATGCTGAGACACGAATCTCCAAGGAGCTTTTGCAGTCTCTGGCCCAGGACACCTCCACTCTGCTTCATCTGCTGGGCAATGACACTGCAAGAGCACAATTTAATCCAGTAAACCTAACTCAGCAACTGTCAGTGCCAGTGAAATTAAGACCCCTGTTTTGCTGCAGTGGATACACCCTTAGCACTTCACAGGCTGCTGCTTGTAGAAAGAGAGGTAGCTCTAGCCTGCAGGGTAGCAAGGAAACCTGCTTTGCCTGGGACATCTGTTCCTATCTTCACTCCTTTACCCAACATGCTACCATCTCCCCTGTCCCCATGGAGGGCAAAGATGACAGAATCACAGAATATGCTGATTTTGAAGGGACCCACAAGGATCATCGAGTCCAACTCCCTGCCCTGCTCAGCACCATTCCCAAGAGTCACACCCTGTGCCCAAGAGCATTGTCCAAACACTTCCTGAACTCTGTCAGGCTTGGCCTCTTCCTAGGGAGCCTGTTCCAGTGCCCAGCCACACTCCGGGTGAAGAACCTTTTTCTAATATCCAACCTAAGTCTCCCCTGACACAACTTCAGGCCATTCCCTCGGGTCCTGGGACAAGTCTGGGAAAAATACACCAAATTCAGTGCACTGTTCACAGCTACTAACCTGGATGCAGGAGTGGTGGAGAAGCTGGACAACACATCGGCTTCGGAGGAAGAATCCGAGTCACCTGCAGGAAGAAACAAACTCGGGTTTTGTCTCCATGAGGAGTGAATGCACACAGAGTTAGAGAGGGAAGAGAGGAAACAAATGCTGCAGGGGACAGAACCTTCCAGCTACCCCTAATCCTGGCTTTTGCCCACCAATTGGGGTCATAAAAACAGGGAAGGGAGCAGAGCTGACAGCCCTGCACAGAAAGGAGATAGGTAAGTTCTGGAGAAGGACAGTGGTGAGCCCTAGCTTGCTCCCAGAAGGAGCAGTTCCTCCTTGCTGTTACATCACTTTTGGGTTCAGTACATCTTGAAATGACAGCATGAATGTAAGACAGGAGGGCAGCTGTGCTGACTCCCAGCTCCCAGACAGCTCTTGCACTCCCCACATTGAGGCATGGAGCACAGTCCTCCCTGGGGTACCAGCACTCACTGTCTTCATACTCTTCTTGACTGTAGTTCTCGTCCAGACCATCAGGAAGTTCTTCCTCTGCTTCGTCCTGGGGATGGCTTGGCTGCAGCAGTGACTCCTCAGCAGTAGCACTGGGACAAAGAACATTACATCAAAAGGAATGGCACATACATTCTGTAGCCAAAAACCCAGAAACCCACGAGGCAGCATGAGATAATGTGGGCAGACAAATGAGGGCACTGCCCTTTCCAGTGCTGATGTACAAGCACACATCCCAAGCTAGCAAGATGGAGAGGCCTCAGACCATGCTGAGAATGAACATGTTCCAGAGCAGCTAGAAAAAAAGAGGAAAAAGAACACCCTCTCCCACCAGGAGAGCAGGAACTCTATGTCTTCACACCTTCTCTATCCTGTATTAGCCCTGTGTTCTTTTATGAACCCACGTCTCTGACTAGAAAGGCCTGGTTCAACAGCAGGCTGGATTCAACATAAGTGCAGCGCTTTCCACTGAAGGCAGGGCCCCCCAAGTAGAAGAAACTAGAAATGCCACACAGTAATTCCATGCTATGGTTGAAGGAGAAAATGGAACAGCTTGGAGCTATCCCGAATGCCTGTGTCAAGCTGGGGGTGCAAGAAGGTGCTCCACCCACTAGGATGCTGCAGTTGGGTTTTGCTCATGGACACAGCCCATGGTTATCCTTATGGCCACCTCATACTGCCCACAGTGCATCCTCTCCCAACACACACAGACACAACAGCCAGCCTGGCACATCCTGCTGCAGCCTCCCTCCTCCTCCTGCCACTACTTACTTAAGCTTTCCTGAGACCACAGCCTGGGCCTGTTTCTCTTCTTCCTCCAGTTGGATGGTGGACACCTGTGCTGCCACTTCAGAGACAGCAGCAAAGTGCAGAGGCTCTGCTCTTGCCAGGTGGTCCCCGGCACACAGAGTGCTGAGCACACCCACGGGACGGCAGCCAGTCCTGCAGACAGGAGCGCTGGCACACGAGGCCAGGGGACGGACACTGATCCGCTCAGGCCGGGCAATGGTGTCACAGGTGCCCCTAAGGCTCGAGTTACTGTTAAGGCAGTGGCTCTCCAGCTCCGAGTTCAGGGGAGCAGTGGGTTCTTTCTGAGTGATCTGCACTCCAGCATGCTGCCTCCATCTGCTGCTCTGGTTGGACAGGCTGCCCACACTCATAAGGCCAGAACTTTCAGCTTGGCACCCAAAGCCTCTGTGTGTGGCAGCCTGACTAGGTAGCTGCTGCACAGCCTTCAAGAGGCTCTTCTCCGGCTCCTTCTCTTTTGAGCTGTGAGGTCCCCCCTTAGCATCCTCCAATGAGCACTGATCCTTCCTGAGGACCGCACAGCTTGGCACAGGGGCATGGGAGGGGATTTTGTTTTGCTCTGACACAACGTTGCTGTTCGTCACAGCCCTGTTAATCAGGCTGCTACCAAAGCTGTCTCTATTGTCCCCAAAGAGGGACCATGAAGTAGCAGGAAAACTCCGGGTGTTTTCCACCTTTTTCATCTTCAGTGACTGCAGAAAAGGCACTTGAGCACTGCTTGGCCGTAGGAAGGAGTTGTTATTGAGCACTGGTCTACAGGAGCTGGCAGCCTGCTGACCTGAGCTGAGGGGAGAGCCTTTGACCCCAGTTCCAGAGTGCTCCTCTGCCAACAGGCAGGGGTCCATCAGCAGGGAAGGCATCACCCTTCCTGTGGCAGATATCACCCTTCCCGTACCAGGGCCAGTGTGTCGAGGGCTTTGGAGGCTGTCTTCAGTGGGCTGTGCGTGGCATAGTGATGGTGAGCACAAGAAGCAGGATTGCTGCAGAGGGATCCCTGAGGGCAGCAGGATGCGATCCTGGAAAGCACTCGCATATCTCTTCTCTAAATTCCAGACGGGTTTGGCCTGCTGCTGAGCGAGGCGCCAGGGCCAGCACGGCTGAGGTCGTTCTGCCGGGAGGCTGCCTGACTGCAGCCCGATGCGCTTCTGCTGTTTGGGGCCCCTGTTAGCATGGTCTGGTCCTGCCGACGCCATGTAGAGCCATAGCACTTGAGGCACAGTCAGTCATCTACTGCAGCATCTTTGCTGGCCTGAAACAAAAGGATAGCATGAAAGACTCTGTTGTCCTGTCAGAGGACAGCACCCAGCCTAACGCCACATGAGGAAAGCAGGGTGGGCTGCTTTTCCTGCAGGATGAAAATCACATCTCCCATTTACTGAGCTCACCAAGAGTCTCTGGAGACCAAGTCAAGGAATGGCTGGCATCTCACATGAAACCAGAGGATGCAAAGAACAATGTAAAGAGAGCCATCTGCAGGAAAGCTTGTACCCTGCAAACACACAAGGGTGCCTGACTACCAGCCAGGGCCATGGAGTAGCAGCTCTAGCAGTCACCCTGTCTGCAACAAGAGGCTGCCTGCCTGGGACCCATATGGCAGCTGGAGCCCACTCCTACAGATCTGTGCCTCCTGACTCTGCCATACACACCAAAACATCTGCTTACTTTTTCTCCCTGCTCCTTAAAACTTCAGCTCAGTACATTACACAACTAGATGACAACCTCAGCCCTTGCTTTTAAAAGGAACATGTTTCTAACTCTAGTAAAAGAGCTTTGTGAGGGCTAAAGGCTTCCTATAGAGCTCAGGACTGAGAAGGCAGGGCTGTTCTAACATAGCAAGAACCAAATGCAGGGCTGTTCTAACATCAACACCTCTGCTTCCAGCACAGACTGGCAGTACTGTGCACGTACATCTCTCCCCACGGCAGTACTTCAGAAAAGTCTCCTGCAAGGACCAAACTGGCAGACCCCAGTGTTGCAGATATAAGTGCCCTGAATCTTTCTAGAATGAACTATTGCACCATACCTGCAACATCCTCTTGCCTGAGGAGAGGGGAAAAGAGAAAACAAACCACTAGCCAGTTATTGCTTTAACACATGCCTGGAGGGACCCTGGATACAGCTGCGATAGGAATTTGTATTCCAAGCAGGCTGGCTGGTTCTTCCACCTTCCACCAGCTCTCACATGCTTGCATATTAAAGAAAAAAAAAAAAAAAAAAAAGAGGTATAAAAAGATGGATAAGCAGGGCATCAGCCATCACACTCTTCTTTTTCTTGCCATACACATACACACTCCTTTCTCACCTGAAAGACAAGCCTCAGATGCAGCAGTTAAAGTGCAGCTTGGAGACCCTGATGTTGCTCTGTAGCACCATCACAGCAGCTCGCACCACCACAGAGCTGGGTCAGACGGACCTACACCTGCCAGACCCTCTCAGCCTGTGAATCAGCTCCAATCTCCAGCACGTACCAGCTCAGCAGCACCTCAGCCAGAGGATGTGGGAAATGGAACATCCCATGCAGGATCCCATAGGAGGTATACATCCTCAAGGAGAGCTGCTACCCTGCCAAGCTCTGCAAGGAAATATGGCAAATGCCGAGTCCATACCACATCCATAGGGCTGCCTTGCTTGTTAGTGCTTGTACAGTCAAGCTGAGAACTCCTGATGAGGACAGGGCACCTGCATCCCAGTGGGAGCTGCAGCCCAGAGGGCCTCCAAACCCCAGAGAAGAGAATCCCACAACAGAGATGTACAACACTATTCCACTGCTACCCAATCTGCCCCCAGCAGCAAACCTGGCTGTGTTGTGACATTCACAGCGATTAGCACAGAGGGAAGAAGCTGTGGCTCAGATGCCGTCCCCTGCCCAGCTCAAATTTCCACCAGTAAACAAGGGAGCAGAGCTTGGCTTGCACACTCTGTCCCCTCCAGCTCACAAGCACACCCGGACCACAAAGTGACCCTAGCACACCAGTGAACATAGGTGTTAAAGATCAAATTAAAATCCAAGGAGAATGAAAGTGTTCCTGCCTAGAGGATCTGTCACTGGCATCACCACCTGCACTGCCAGTCTGGTCATCGCCTGCACTCTCACCCGGCTGTGAATGACCTTGTAAAACCAGCCTGAAGTGAAAGCCATCTGTAGCTCATCTCCAGCCGGCTTTACAGCTATCAGTGAATCATCCTGCTGTAAAAATAAAAGTGATGTGGCCTAATGAAGCTGTAACAAGGGCTGTGAATCTCACAGTCAGCTTACACACAGGTGTGAAAATGCCAGCACAAGTCCTATGTGATCCTGATCTGGAGTAAGTGACAACGGTGGCACAGATGTGACTGACACAGACACGGGGGTGCTGCTGACAGCTGTGGCTGCCAGGGTGGAGGTCTGGGCATGGCACAGCCTTAGCTAACACTGCCTGGAACGCAGCCCCACAGCAGCAGACAGAGATGTGCTGAGCTTGGCCCCTCCCAAGCAGTTTTGTCATGAAGTTACAGAAGTGTCTGGGCCAGCACAGAGGAGGGGTGTGCAGGAAGCAGCAGCTGCATAAGAAAGCTGCAGGGCCTTTAGCAGAGCTTTCAGGTAAGGCCTAGGTTGGCCAACAGCTACTGACCATCACTGTTTCCCTGTGGAGACACAGGAGCTCAGAGATAGGGGCAGGAGGGGCAGGAAGGATGAAAGGAAGATGCCCTCACAGGATGCATCCAGACTGATAGCAGCAGTCCATGCTGCCTGTCCTTCCCCCCATTCACACCTTCTGCATGCCAGCACAGCCAACTCTAATGCCCACCTGAAAACTGTCTCCCATCCTTACTGCAAGGACAGCTTGACAAAGCAGCTGCTGAGCATCCAGGAGAACTGATGGAGATGGAGGGGGGCACCTTCACGTGCCAGGCTGTGGTCACAACAGGACAGCAGCTGCCACATCTCTGTAGCTCTGGGTAGGAAACACGTCACCTGCCCCCAGGTAAATCCCTGCTGGTTACCAGTAGAGAAGTTTTCCCTTTATATTTAATTCAGCTGGAGTTTTGGGATGGACAAAGATCACAGCTTGATGCAGCCCCTAGCTCTGCTAACCAAACTCTATGAGAAAGGAGCTGGACTCTGTTCTGCATCTCAGAATGGCAATAAAATAACACTCTTAAAATTTTATTGTAGAAACATGAGCTAGGAAAAGCCCTGGTTGAACTGGCCAGGCTGGAATTCAAACCCAACCCAAGTAATTAATGGATTTTGACTTGGACTTATTGACACACAATACAGAGGCCAAAGCTGTCACTGTTGGAGTGACTGTACAGCTGCACTTGCTTACAATTATTCTGCCAGCACCTTTTATTGCCATACAGCTTGCTTGCAAGTGTTGGGAGGTCAGCTGGAGCACTGCCACAGCCTGTACAAATGTGACATCCCTAGAGCACAGGGCCAACATGTGCCCAGCCTCTGCACACCCCAGTACATAGCAGTAAAAACCCTTTCTTCCAGCCTGAGCCTCACTGCAGCATGTGCTCCTCTAATGGCAGCGTGGCAGCTCCTCACAGCCCTCTTCCAAACAGGAAAGGACAAGACATCAAGAGCCCGGGTGTGCACATCATCCCATTGTTAGAAGAGTGTGGCTGTGGAGGTTATTTTAAGTGCAGCTTGGTGATACACTTAAAATAACAAGAGCTTGTGAATGTATGCACTGCAAGCTGACCTGATAATGTGTTGTCAGCCACACACAGCCTGAAATCACAAGGAAGAGAGATTAGACAACTGCAATTGCTATAGTTTTCTATGCCATTGCAGGGTGCATATTCTGTTTTGTTCTTTATTATTAAAAAGGATAACACATTTTTCTAAACAAGACCTGAGTTTACACCAAGTTCCTCACTTGCAGCTCTGGTGCTTTTGATTAAAGCTTGAACAAGCAAGTTAACAACAATGCAAAACAAACAGGTTTTAAAACAAAAATACATTTACAAATAAGGGTTTGTATTCCTTCAAAAAATTAAAACTTTGAACAAGATCAACAACATTGATCTGAAACAAACTGAGTGCCTAAAAGTGCTCCAACACCTCATAGCTAGCTACAAACTTGTGTTTCAACAGCATGGAAACAGCCCTCCCTCCCCAACGTCAGCTCCAAGAATCGAGTGGCCTCAAGGGCAGCCACACACCAAGCCAAAGCACCTGAGGCCACCAGCAAGTTCAAGCTGAAGAGTAGAGGGTGCTGCTGGCCACAATTTGTCCAAGAGGACAACACAGCTCAGAGGCAGCTTGGCCACTGCAGAAATGCTCTTGGGTACATCAGCCTGGTGTGCTGCTTTGCCACATAGTTAAGCATCACTGTTCCCTCTCAGCTTCACTGCAATCCTTGCAGAACCACATTTTGTGTGCAAATCCAGAGGATGACAACCAATTTCTGTCCCAATCAAGACATCAAGTTTTTACGTGGCCACTCAGGTCAAAAACAAAAAAAACAAACAAAACAAAACAACAGTGAGAAATCAACCTCTGTGAGGATGCATCAGCAAATTCCACCAGCATGCCAGGATTACATTTGTGCCAGGGTTGGTCATTTCCATTCATCAGCTCTGGTGCTGAACTCCACACTGAATAGAGGAAGTATGGGTGTATGGGTGCCTGAAAAGACCCTTTACCTAAGAAGGGCACTGCCCTGCAAGAGAAATAGAGTAGCTCAGGTGTGTTCTCCTGCTCCAAAGGTGGAGGCAGACCTCAGGGACAGCAGGATGCTGGAGCAAGCCATGGGAGAGCTGCAATCCAGCCAGCACCTCACCCTGTGCTGCAGCAAAGGCCTCCCTCCATGCACACACAGAGTGGGCTGGGGACTGAAGGCTCCTGTGCTTGCCTTCACAAGGGACTTTGCTATCACTCTAAGGGCACTGAAACACAGTTGCCAGATGAGGTGGGGAACTCTGGCACAACAGGCAGAAAATCCAGGGCTATAGCTTGAGGGCACCAAGGACACTTCAGATAAAGGGCCAGCTCAGTGCTCACCCCGGGAGGGCTGACCTGGCTGTGACCAGACAGTGCAGGGGCCACAGCAAAGGGCAGAGCATGGAGCTCCTGTTGCTGTCAAAGAATATCAACTTTTCTCCCTGGCAGACTCCCCAGGCCCTGAGGCAGATGTAGTGCACACTGACAGCAGATCATGCAGCTCTGTTTCCCCAGCAGTGAAGCTGGTAAGTGCCTGCTCTTGCTCCCACCCAATTTGCACTTTTTCATCACACGGGCAACAGAAGCAGTTGTACTGCAGCACAAACAGGAGCAGAGAAACGAGTCTGAGTTAAAAGCAACAAGCTAAACCATGAGGTGTTTAACAGCATTTCACCATGGAGGTCTACAGCCCATTCCTGAAGATCCAAACTGAAGGGACAGCATTTTCAATTGATTTTCATTTTCTCCATGATGGGAGAAAAGAGAATTATGTGGCAAGACCTGGTAAGAGTTTGGCCACCAGCATAGGATCTGAGGGCAGTCAGCACAGCTCCATCTGATCTTAGGCAGACTAGCTTTTAGTAGAAAAATAAAAGTGGAGGATTTTGAGTGAGTGAAACAAGTATAAAATATCAACATACAGCAAGGAGAAAAGAACTACCCAATTAGTTCAAGACACATTATTTCTCAACCCACCTTCTGTTCTTGATACTTTTTACTGAAACATAGCTGCAATTGGAAGAAAAGGTTCCTAGATTTGTCCTTCAGTATGTGCTGAGGACTCTTCCATGTCCTGACAGGGCTGGGAAAAATTCTTCTGAAGCCACTGCAAAACCCTCACTCCATACAGCAATCTCTCAGGGCTCAGGAGTGGAGAAGAAACAGAGACTCAAGGTGAGAAGCTGCCAAATACTCCCAGACCCCATGGATGGCAGGAACTTGGGAAATGTCAAGGAGTGGCACCCAGCCAGGCTGGTGCAGCAGCCAAAGCCCCCAACCTGTGTCAATGATTTGACACCTCCATGCAGGCGCTGTTATGTGGGGATGGTGACATTTGTCCCCTCAGTTCCTCCCTGAAATGCGATCCCTGCTGGGCTGAAGGACCCCTTGACTGAGGTGTGGGAGGGGACAACTGTCATCAACCAACTTTACCTAACACAACTGCAGCAAGAGAGCAATGAAAGGACAGAGAAATGCTATTATCTGCTGGATACAAACAGTGAAAATTGTGGAAATATTATTCTATAAAACTATAGTAAGGCAAACAATCCACTGTAAATTCCCCCAAACTATCCGGGAGTCACTAGATGTCATCTGCCCATTCCGTGAGGAGAACACCACAATAAGAAAGACAGGCAAGCCTCGGGGGGGTCATGTAGGCAGGGCTTTGATATGTAGCTGTGGGGCTGAACTCTGCCTCCCATCAGACATCCACAGCAATGCATAGGATGCTGGCACAATGCCACAGGGTTTCCCCACACCTTCACTCCTCACTCCCTGACCAAACCCTGGAGGCATTCAGGAAATACTCCAGGCTTGTCTCAATGCAGCTCTGTCTTTCATCTTTCAGACTAAACGGTCCTTTTTACAACACAAGAGCCAAGACCCCTATGAAAGGATGAACAACCAGGATGTCCCAGCACTCTACCTGGGCCTGGTCGATCTCAGCTCCATCCTAATACTCCAAGTAGCGTTGGAGAGGTTCCCTGGGGCCGTGGGTGGCTGGGGAGCCAGCCCTTCCTCGCTGCCGCTCGCCCGGGGAACACGCTGTGTCTCATTTCTCCAAATGAAAGACTGTGATGCCCAAGCTGCTACCACGATGCTCTATCCCGGCGCCGGAGCGCCGCCCAGGCCGCCAACCCCAGCGTGTCTCGGCACAGAGCGTTCCCAAACCGCCCCCCCGCGCCACGGTGTCACGGGACAAGGCCATGGCGAGCCCCGCGAGCAGGCCCGGGCGGGAGCGAGGTGCCTCCTCGGGGCCCGGGCACGGCTATGGGGCGGAGGAGCCGGGAAGGCAACGCGGGGGGACAAGGGCCCCAGTGGGGGACTCTGAGGGTGCAACCCAGGGAGACACAGGGGGAGCAAACCCCCACAGCACAGGCCGGCAACGCCGCCATACTCACCACCCGCCCGGGCCCGCCGGAGCCGCCGCCGCCGCCGTTACCATGGGGAGCCGGCGGGCCCACGTGACTACAGCTCCCGGCAGCCATCGCGGCGGGGGCTGTACTGCCCCCTGGCGGCGTGGCGGAGCTTGGCGGCGGCGCGGCTCTGTGAGCCGGCGGGAGACGCGCGGTTACAGAAGGAACGGGCATTTTGTCAGGGCCGGCTTCCCGCGGGGGGCACCCCGGGTAAAGACGGCCGGGTAGAGTCCCCCTCAGGCGGACAGCGCGGGTTGCAAGGAAGGTCCGGCTGGAGCCTGAGGAGGGTGAAGGAAGCGTCCGTGGCGTCCCGGGATGCCCGGGCATCACCGCTCAGCGCCGGTACGCGGCGACAGCGGGCTGGGCCCCGCGCGGCCGGGCGGAGCTGCGAGGCGGCGGAGGAGCTGCTCGCACCGGCGGCGGAATAGCGGCTCGCAGTGCCGGGCAAAGGGCGGCTGGGAACTGACAGCGGCCAGCGCCGCCAGCCTCTCGGTGGCTTTGAGGGACAGCAGGACCTGCACAGCCAAGAGAGGAACAGGAGTCACCCACCAGCTTGACCCTTGTTCCTACAGCTCTATCAGGTCCCCCAAAGGAGCGGGGTCCCGGTGCCGTACCTGCTGGATCCCCGGGTGCTGGCTGAGGGCTCGCAGCGCCTCGAGGGCTCCCTCCCGCACGGCCTTGCGCGGGTCCTGGCAGGTCACCTGCAGCAGGCGGTCGAGGGCCCCGCTCTGGATCAGCAGATCCCGCAGCTCCTCCCCGCGCTGGCCCAGGTTGCTCAGGGCCAGGGCCGCGTTGTGGCACGTCTGGGCCCGCGAGTCGCTCAGCAGCCGGGTCAGCGCGGGCACGGCCCGGCCCAGCGTCTCCACCGGGCAGGACGCGTGGCAGGCGGCATTGCCCACTGCGAAGGTGGCTGCCCTGCGCACGCTGCTCGCCGGGTCCCACAGGCACTCCAGCAGCCTCTCCAGCCAACCTGGCTGGCTCTGCAGCGCTGGGGAAAAGCTGTGCCGGAGCAGGTTGCCCAGCAAGTTGCAGGTTCTGGCCCGTATCAGGTGTTGCTTGTGGCTGAGCAGGTAGGTCAGTGGCTGGTCAGCCACATCTGAGTCCCTCAGGATCCTCTGGAGAAAGGGCAGGTGCTCGGAACTGGCCCGGGCCACGTGGGTCAGGAGAGACAGGAGGTCACTTGTGAGTATGACATTGTCCGAGGACAAGACAGACTTCAAGAAGGCAACAATGTGCTCCGAGGCAGCAGCTTCCCTCACCACTTGGTCTATGACCTGTATATCAGACACCACAAATTGGCACAAGAGACCCATGGGGAGCTCGGTGAATGAGAAGGGCAGATGGTGAGTGCAGACCTAAGGCAGAAGGACAGACAGCACTGCTGAGTGACTGCTCACACATGAGCCAAGCCAAGCAGCAGCTGAAGGCAGCAGCTGAAAGCAGCCAGCAGGGAGGGGTCACCACTGTAGGGGGAACACAGGGCCAAGAAAGTACCTGTAGCAGCTGGGCAGGGATCTGGGTATCTCTCACAGCCTCCATAATCAGTGCTAAGGTGTCTTTATCCACATCCAGGGCAAAAGGGAAAGAGAGGAGCTGGCAGACCTGGATGACCACATCTGGGACAACCTCAGGGTCCCCATCTTTTCCTGCTTGCCTGAATTAGTGAAAGAAAGAGGGCTTAATACAGAGACAATCAAAAAAACCTCAGGGCAAGGGGCAAAGGGCATTCCCTGTGCCAGTCACTAAGGAGAGGTTCTGCAAGTGCCAGGTCAGAAACTTCTCAGCCCTTGGTGTGCTCATGTCCATGCCCCATTCAGCAGCTGAGCTCTGCCCACTTCAGCCCTTCCACAACTCACATTTGTGCCACGCCTGCCAAGAAGCCAGGGGACAGCAGTCTCTTCAGTGTCACCATGAGGACACCATGGGACTGGGTGAGCTGAGGCAGACACTGGTGGGACTCACGAGTGAAGATGCTGAGGGCCAGGCTGAGGAATAACAGAGTTCCTGCAGAGAAAACAGCAGGCAGAAGGGCAAAGATAGGGAAGGCTGTAATGTTTCTTCACTTCTGTCTGTGCTCTCTCAAGCCTGCTCCAGGGTGGATTCTGTGATTCCCTGCAAAAACCAGAAAATCTCCACCCAGGTGGTCACACCTGCCAGTGGACATTCCCAGCAGCACAGACATCCTTTTTGCTCCTCCACAGCCAGCTCAGCTGAGCTGCTGCCAGCTGGGCACAGCATGGGCCAGCCCAGCCCTCTCTCCTCAGCAGACACTGCAATCCTCAAAAAAACCACCTGTGTCCTCTGGCCTCAGGGAACAGATGTGGAAGGGGACAGACATGGGCAAGTGTGAGGGCAGGATGTGAAGCAGGGTCCAGGGCAGATGCCCTGCTGTCCCACAGCTCCTACCTTGAGAGGAGAGGAGGTTCCAGTCTGGCTCTGCCGTGGGGTGACCAGCGCTTGGGGGTGGATCTTCCTCCAGCACTGCACTGGTGGTGCCCACATGAAGCACCACCGCTACACAATGGCAGACCAGGCTCCATAGTTCAGAGGAAGCAAAGCCCTGCTCCAAGACCACATCCTCCTAGAGGCAGACAGGCAGATGTCAGAGGCCTTCATGGCCCCCCAGGGTTCTGATACATGGCTCTGCCAGTCCCATGGTTCTCTGAAGGTCAGGGCTAGACACCTATGGGCCAGGAGTCCTCCTGCACCTTTCAGCAGTGTCAGTCCCAGGGCATCTCTGCCCTTCTTCACTCCAGTGACCCCATGGATCACCCCTCCCCACCCACCACTCTCCCATCAGCTCTGCAGGGACACAAGGTGACTTTCATGGGGTTGTGCAGCCAAAACTGCACAGTTCCTGATTTCCCTCAGCCTCGTTACCAATGTGCATTCAGGCCTTTTTGCCACCACACCTTTTGGCAGAGACCAGGCAGAAGACATGGCTAGACTGGTACCTGTTCAAGGAGCTTCAGCAGGAGGAAAAACAACCCATCATAGAGACCAGCACCCATTGGCAGGGGGAGCTGCAGCTGTAAGAGAGTGGGAGACACTCTGAAGCTGGGTGCTGGGCTTGAGGGCAGCAGCATCACTCTTGCACCCTTCTGAGCCCTTCTTTGCACACCTCTGCAGTGGGGTATGCATGGGTCCCCAGCTTCTCTGTCCCCATCCCATACCTCAGCAGGTGCAGTCAGCACATTTGTTACCACTGGTAGGATCTTTTCTCTCTTGAGCTCCAAAGCCACCCCATGCCGACTGAGCTGTGCCAGGAGAAATGCTGCAGCACCCTGTGGGACAAGGAGAGTTCAGCACCTTTGGGACTTTCCCATCTGCTCAGTCACTATTGACCCTTCATCCCTGGCCTCATCCCACCCTGAGTGAGGAACAGTAAGGCCCAAATGGGATGCAGGGGTCTGCAAGGCTCTCAGTAGTGGCTCTGGTGGGGGGGTGGCTTACCACAAGAGACACAACAGGAGACTGGGTGATGATATCCACAGCCAGGGCAACCATCTCCTCACACCTGAAATGCAGGGACCAGGAGAGAAGCACTATGTTCCCACAGCTCCACATCATGCAGAACAGCAGCATCCAATACCCACACAGCTGGGAAGCAGCCATGTTTCAGGAGGAGCCCTGGTTCACAGCACTCCTTGTCTGCACTGGGTCATCCTCAACACATCCCCAGCACCCACCCACACTGCCCAGCATTCTGCTGGTATGTATGGGTCAGAGGTATCAGTGGGACCAGGTTCCAGCTCCAGGCAGTGTGCAGGACAGAGTGCTGTTCAGGGCAGGGCATGTTCCTCTCCCACCCACGAATGAAAGTGTCTGCTTACCTGGGAGGGGATGCCTGAAGCTGCAGGGTGAGCAGGGCCAGCAGGTACAGAGAGGCTTCACAGGCTGCCTCCTGGGTCACCTCCAGCACAGGGACCTACCAAAGGAACAGAAGTCATAGCAGAGAAGGAGGAGGTGTTTCTGGGCCCCAAAGGAGAACTGCACTCTTCTGATTAACTCCCTAAAACTCCTCTTCCCCCACAGATTCATCTGACCAGTGCTCAGAGGAATGCATCCTGCTTGCCCACACTCCTACCCCTCCATGAGGGCTGTGGTCAGTCCTACCTCACCCTGCAAGATCTGCATGAGGGAACCCCACAGAGGCTGGCTCCTTCCCAGGTGCTGGCACAGGCTGGGGTAGGCATGGCAGCCAGCATAGAGGATCTGCAAGGCAGAGGGGAGAGATGCCACCAGCCCCTGCAGACAGGTTCCACTCCATGGCTACCATGGATTCATTTATTCAACAACTCACACCAGGCAGATGGGAACCATTGAGGGCTAAGCTCACAGTTCCCTCTTTGCCATACTCCTAATTCCAGAGCAAAGGCCCAGGCACCTCTGGGCAGAGCCAGATAAAAGGACTGGGCCATTACCTTCAGGATGTTCAAGGAGCAGCCTGGGTCCTCCAGTCTCTCCAGCAGCCTTGCAAGCTGCTGACTCTCTCCTTCCATAAGGTTTTCAGCTACTGCGTAAGCAACCTGCAGAAATCAGCCTGTTTTGGACTCTGGGCACCTGAAGCACTGCCCAGACTAGGAAGGGTTTGATGCTAGCAACAATTTAATGAAAGAAACATCTGCTTCCTACATGTTGCCTGTGTCTGCTAAGGGATGCCTATCTGCCATCACCTAGCATGGCTTTGATGCACAGTTCCACAGTTGAGATGAGCAAGGTAAGATTCCTCCTTCCTTCCTTGTTGACCCAGCATTAAATAATCAAATGTAAACCTGTAATTGTTTTCCCTCTTACTACCCCTTCAATTTCAGATTTCCTACAGTTCATATCACTGTAATAAAAGAATTCTTGTTTTCCCTGCATTGCCTAGTTCTTTACTTAGCCCATCTCACAGTTCAGATCCTAAGTTTGAGTCTCAATTGATTCAAGAATCCTTACATTCCCAAGGTCAGCTGTTGGCTGGGGAGGTGCAGCCCACAAATATGAGCCCTGCAGCCAATAAAGCCAGAGGATCCCAGCCCTCCACTCTACTGTTGAGAAAGAGATCCTCCTAGAAAGGGTTGCTGCCCCTGGGAGGACCACACCTCTTCACCCTGTACAGAGAGCTGGTCTGACCTGCTGCTTGGCTTCCCGACAGCTGCTTCTGTCCAGGGGGATGCTGCATGCAGCAGCCAATGCAGCCAGGAAGAGCTCTGCCACACATGGGCTCTGGTCATGGGCTGACTTGCCTTCCACTGCTGCACCTGCACAGGGACAGAGCTGGGGACTCATTGTGCTAAAGGTGCTGAGGGGCAGCAGGGTAGGGCTGGATGGCAAGAGAGAAAAAGTCAGGTCTGTGACATAAGAAGGGTGAGATCTGGGATTGAGGGAGGAGAGCCCAAGTTAGCAGGGGTCTGGACAGATAAATTTCAGCCACCTCTTCTGGCCAACAACACTACGATGGCTGTCAGTGCTCTGATGGAGCCCAAGGGGAGAAAGGAGAAGAAACCCCAGGAAGAGGTGGTGAGCTGCTATCACTGCTACCTCGAAGAGCAGGCTGCTGTAAGATGGATTCTTGAAGGAGTTTGTTCAGCAGGGGCTGATGCTCCTCTTGCAGCCTGGTGTAGAATTGTGCAGAGACAGAAGGGTCTGTTGTGTCCAGGCTCTCACAGAGCTGGGTGAAGCACTGGGGAAGACACAGAGGTTGCCATCGCTGCAGACTGAGTTTGAGAGGAAAGAAAAGGACAGCACAGGAGGAAGCTGTGGGAGGACAGAAGAGATGGGAGAAGGACTCATGCTGGAACTTCAGGGACCTCCAAATGCCCACTCCAGACAGTTACTGTATGGGACCCACATCTGGCTGCATGCTGCTGAAATGAGGGGTACACATGGAGGCATGTGTCCCTCCTCACCTCTATCACAGCCTGGCAGAGCATGCCCAACAGCTATTTTTGCTCAAAAACAAAGGCTAAAAGATACCAAATGCAAGCCTGTATGCATCTCCTGCCTGAGCCACATGTGAATCAGACTCCAATGCTGAGAACCTGCTGTGCCCACCCAGCACAATCCCAGCAACAGAACTCTTGGCAGCAGAGCCAGGGCCATGTCTGGTGAAGTGACACTTTTTGTGCAAGAGTGTGTACAAGGGACTGCACTGGCCATTGGCTCAGCTAGTAAAGCCACACCAGAACGGTAAGGCCAGTGAAAGTGCCCCTTCAGAGACCTTCTTTTGTATGCAATTCCCCACAAAAACCCCAATGGGTGAGACAGCCTGCCCTGACATGAACGCATCAGGCCCCGTAGTTAGGAGCAGGGTCCTCAGGCTGCGTTCCTCCAACACACACAGAGACCCCCATGGAGTTTCTGTCCCTGGGGGCAGAGGGTGTGAAGCAGGGAGACGGGAGCACCCTTACCAGGAGGCTTTGCTGGCAGAGTCTCATCTCACTGTCGACTGGCACAGCCAGCAGCTCCGGCAGCAGTGCCAGGAAGCAGTCAGCACTCTCCTGCAGACTGGGGGCAGAGCAGGGACAGGTGAGTGCAGAGAAACGCATGGCCCCTTGCTGTGAGGACAGGCTCACATGGCCCTGGCTAATGGAGCAGGCAGCACTCACTCACACTGTGAGCTGCTGTCAGCAGGCAGCACCACCAGACTTGTCAGCTGTGCCTTGCCTTCAGTTAATCCCGTTCAAGGAAAGTGCTCCTCTGAGCACAGCAATATGGCATGAAGCACTTAGACCATGATGCTCCCCCACAGAGACAACTCCAGCTGCAGAGTATGAACATCACCCTTCCACCTACTGCCTGTGGTCCCCAAAGTGACCACACGAGACCTCAGGAAACAGAAGGTTGTCCCTACCTGTCCTTTTGCCCACTCTCTTCCAGGCTACATTCACTGCTGAAATAAACTTTTGTCACCATGAGGAGGTCTGTCAGCACAGCGATACACCAGGGCTGCTGCAGAATCCAGAAAGAAACCACAAATGGGGATTGTCTGCTGGCCATCCCCACACCACTACAACAGGATCCTTCCCTACCAGAACCTCCCCCTTCCCAAGGGGGCCTGGAAGAGGAACCTGTGTGCCAGATCCAGCAGGACACCAGGGCCTCCTCAGCAGCAGCACTCTGCAGGGCTGGAAAGTGCCCATATTTCCCTGGGGTTCTACACACACCTGCTTGGTGACAGCACTTTCCAGGATCTGCTTGGCTAGACACAGCAGGGACAGAGGAACATTCAGCTCTTGGCAGAAGTGGTCCAGCAGCTCAGCGTCACACTGGGTAGACAGGAGGTTGCCAATAACACGAAGCACAGAACGAAGATGAGAGGCTCCCTCCAGCATCCCTTCCAGCACCTGGACACAGAGAAGGCAGATGAGCTTATAATGAGCAGCAGTTTTGGTGTCTCCACCAGCCATGGAGCAGCCCTTCAACCCATTCAGGCAGGGGACAGCAGAGCAGCAGATGGCAAGCCAAGTGCACAAGACAGTTCCAACTCCTGGAGAAGCAGAGGACCTTTTTGCTGGCTGAACTGAGGATTCTCCATATGTTTCCAACCTAATCCTGATGAAGAAGGCAGCATCCAAGTCTCCAGTCTTAGTTGCCTGGGCCAGCCATCCCTTACCTGCTGAGCAGAGTCTGCCAGGCGGTCCCGGACACGGTGCTGGAAAGCTGGGTCCCTCAGCAGGCCCAGAGGCATGCTCAGCTGCATGGCTGAGGCCTCAGTGTCCTCACTCAGCTGCTGCCACTCCTCATCACTCTCCAGCTCCTAGCCACAGAAGAGAGGACTGGTGACACAGACCTGCTAGTCCCAGGGCCTCTGTAGCAGCCCCTGGCAACTGGGCCCTGCTGTCCTCACTGAAGACACCATCTTACCTCAGTCTCCAGGTCCACGATGCTGTGCCTGCTGCAGGGCTTTGCCCTGCCAGCATCAGGCTGTGGAGGGGAACCTGCTCCAAGAAACTCCCACTCATAGTCTTGAGAGAGGCTGTGCTGCCTGGCCAAGGAAACACTACAGTCAGTACAGAAAGACCTTTCCTTTCCTTATTCTTCCTGCCCTAGCCTCTGCCTCCCTCACCCTGGGGTGGGAGGAGACTCCTCAAACTCCTCAAACTCTGCTGTGCTGCTCTTTCCTTGCAGGAGATTTGGATTCTTCTCATTGGAGGCAGCCAATGGCTCCCTCTCCTCAGGGGCTGCCTTCCCTGATGCTGGTCTAGGTCTAGGTGTGGGATGTCCATTGACAGAATCCTTCATAGATGGATCACCTGCCTTCAGTTGACCCTGGTGATGGCAGAGAAGTTTGGTCAGGGCAGGGTTACTCAGTCAGATGAGTCCCCTAGACCCTACCACCATGAGCACTGCACATCCTGCCTTGTGTGTTGCTGACACCCCAGTCTGACCCAGGTACTCCTGTGTTTTCCCCCAGGGCCTGCTTCAGTGTCCTTCCTTTGCCTTGACTGTGAGACATAGCCAGGGGAACCTCAGACTTTTCTCCACCTTTTTCTGTATCTCTTCAACCATCTTCTGCTGGGCCTTTCTCAAGATCCTGGACGAGCTGCTCCTGGGGACCATGGAATGGACTTGCTGCTCCTTCAGGGCCTGCAGCTCTGGAGACAGCTTCATGGTGAAGGGGTTTGAAATCCCATGCTCTTCTGTGTCATCAATCACTGGGGAGACAAGAGGAGAACTTCAGCAGCAGCTCTCTCGTGGGACACAGAGTGATCTCTCTTGAGATCCCAGGGGAATCCCAAGGAACCCAGAGCAAGACCAGGAGCAGGAGCTAGGAGTCAGTGCTTGGAAAAAGCTGAGAGGAGAGAGGCATAGACCAGGATAGTAAAAATAGCCGGGCAGGGAGGTCCTCCCAGTCTCCAGACAGTAGTAGAAGGAAACAGACCTGGACAGCTTTGGAAAAGGAGTAAGTACTCACCAGTAACACGCCCAGCAATGAAGGGGTGAGAAAGCAGCTCCGGCCATGACAGGCGCTCCTGGGGGTCCTTCATCAGTAATCCCTGAAGGAAGTCCTGCAGAGCAGCAGGATCACTGATACACGTTCAGCACCCACCAGTGAGCACAGTGTGCCCACCAGTCTCCCTCAGTGAGGGCACCCAGGAGGCCTGCCTTTCCTGCCTAGCTCTGGGAAAGGACTACCTCTAGTGCTTGGGGCAGATGGCAAGGCATTCCCCTTCACAACCCAATAAATCACTCCTCTGCTGTCAGACCCAGTTTCACAGCTTATGGACAGCAGACATTTGATAACAGTGATAAGGATTCCCCTTCCAGGAGGTCCAACTCTCATTGCTTTTCTGTGTTCTGAAGTCCCTGCTAGGGGACATAAAAGCCAAGAGTGACCCACCAGGGCAGCAGGTGAGGCCAGAACTGCATTAACAGATCTCACCCTGCAGACAGGGCCCCAGCCCTTACCCTGAACACTGGGCTCATGGTCACAGGCCATTTGACAGGGTCCTTGATGATGAGGCTGACAAGCTGGAAGATGCTGTTGGTGTAGAAGGGAGGGGTGCCCACAAACAGCTCGTACAGGATGCAGCCCACAGACCACAGGTCTGCTGTGTGGTCATACGGCCGCTCTTCCACCAGCTCAGGGGACATGTACAGCGGGGTGCCCTTGATGGACGTCAGCACCATGGTGTGGATGCTCATGGCACGGGCAAACCTGCTCAGAGCAAAGCACAGATCTCAAGTCCAGGCTGAAACATCTGTTGCAGCTCCCAGGGAGTTCCCTATGAGTTTATCCTCCTCTGTAGAACAAAATCTCCCCTCTCAGGTTAACCTCTAAATATGCACAGAATCCAGGCCCCCTTAAACACTCCCCCACTCCTCCTCTACAGCATGCAGGAAATCCCTTGGCTGCTCCAAAGCCCAGCATTCCCCTCAAGCTGGCCCCCAGCACTCACCCAAAGTCACAGAGTTTGACAACACCATCTTTGCCCAGCAGGATGTTCTGGGGTTTCATGTCACGGTGCAGGATGCGGTGAGAGTGCAGGTAATAGAGAGCAGAGATGAGTTGGGCAGCTATGGCCTGGACCTGGCAGAGACACAGAAGCCTCACCCTGTGTCCCATGGTGCCACCCACTGGCACAACCACAGGGGCTAGGTCCCTTACAGCCTGGCTCCCACACTACTTCTACTTTTGTCCAGTTTGGGGCAGGGACCAACCCCAGCTGCGGGCCAGCAGTTTCTTGGAGTGGGCCAATAGCCAAGGCAGTCTAGTGCTGTGGCCCTTGTAAAGGGAACAGAGAAACTGAGGTCTCTGCAGGGCCCCACTGTCCCACAATACCAACTTGGCCCTCTCTCCATCCTTTTCAGAAGCTCTGCCAGGTAAAGTCCCAGAGGCACCCTCACCCTCCTGCCATCTCCTGGCTCACAGCTGAGACCCTCTGCCTGCAGGCACACAGGTCCTGTTTTCTCTAGCCTGCAGCAAACACTGCATGGTCACTGCAATGACAGAGATACCTGGCTCTCAGGCAAGGTCCCATCATCCTCCAGGATCTGGAAGAGCTCTCCCTCTGCATAGTCAGTCACTACCACCACCTGGAGGGAAGAGCAACATGGCGAGATCAGGCCCTGGGGACCAGGATAAAGCAGGGTAAGAAATTTGAGGATAGTGTTTGGGTGGCATTATGCAAAGTCCATCAGCTTGGGCTGGGACTTGGAATGGAAGAGAGCTCCCATGGCTGGACAGCAGCAAAGACCTGGCACTTGACAGAGGTCTTGTAGCAGTCCATATCTCAGCCAGCAAAAACAAGACAAGAGGGAAGGACAGGACAGGAAGGACACCTCTGCACATGACCTAGTGCAGCCCACACAGGTGGTGGCTCCCCACATGGCACATACTAAAGGGCTCTGAAAAACACTAACTAGACCCTGAGATGAAGTCACCAGCATCTCCTGAGAAAGATGTCCCTACAATGGCAGGGGACAGCCCTTGTTCCCCTGCCCCAGTCAAGCAAAAGCCATTGCCTGGAGTAATCCCCTTCACCTCATTAGCAGTCTCAAAGCTGTCAAGCATCTGGATGATGTTGGGGTGATGGAGGTCTCTCACAATCTCAATTTCCCGCTGCAGGTTCTTCAGCTCCTTCTCAGACCGCCCCACCTTGGGGATGAATTTCAAGGCCACCACCTTCCAAAGCAGGAAAAGCTGGGATCAGACCAGACTCCTGGTCAGACCCACCCTGGCAAAGGCAGCTTTTAACCCAAACAGGGTTCCAGCTGAACAAATACAGTAGAACAATGAGACATTTGTTCACTTGGACCTAGGGCTCTCCCCAGGCCCTTGCACATCAATACTGCTGCTCACACTTCTTTTCACACTGGCATTTAAAGCAAAGAAATGCAATCAGTGAACACAGATAAAACCAGGACTTCAGAAATATGGGACAGGACCTCGAGATGCTGGTGAACAGCAGGCAGAACATTAGCCAGCAGTGTGCCCTGGAAATGAGGAACACTGGCAGCACCTCGGGCTGTATCAACAGGCAGGAACTGCAGCAAAGTGATTACTGACCTTTATTTCTAATTTTGTGCACCATGTTGGGAATATTGTGGCCAGGTTTTTGGCCCAGAAGGACATCAATAGGCTGGAATGGGTATAGCAGAGAGACCCATGATGATGAGGGGACTGAAGCATGTGGGAGGACGACATGGGAATTACAAATTGAAATGGAAGGAGGTTGAACTTGCTAAGAGGAAAACACATTCATTCTAGTAATAGTCAGGCACCAGCTATGGGTGCTTGTCTTGGGGGTTTCAGAGGATCTAAATTTAGTGCTGGCTCTGCTTTGAGTTCTTGAGGTCGCTCCTGATGTCCCTTGAATCCAGATGACTTAGTGCCAGCTGGAGCTGGTCAGGACCGTCAGCAGAAAGCCGAATAGATGCCGGGTCCCAAAATCCTGGTAGAGTTAGAATTCAAGAGGCAGCAGAAATCAGCCCCGGCCCCGCACAGCAGAGCCCCAGTCCTGTCCCCTCACCTGGGCGCTGTGCCTCCGGCGCCCCTTGTACACGTGCCCGAAGGACCCTTCGCCGATCCTCTCCAGGACGTGGTAGTTCTCCATCGCCCGGGACGGGGCCGCCGAGCTGCCGAGGCACGGAGGCCGGGGAGGAGCAGCGAGTCCCCTTCCGCGGGCACCTCTCCTCCCGCGGGGCGGCATCCGGCCCCGTTCCCCGGGGCGAGTGTCGCCCCCGCCGGCCCAGGCTTTGTTGCTGCCCACCGGCTGGAAGGCAGGACGAGCCCCGAGCCCCGGCGGCAGCGCTCCCGCTGCGGGATGAACCGCGCTCCGCTCCCGCCCCGGCCCCGCCGCCGCGGCGTCTCCTGGCAACGGGCTCCCCTTCCGCTTCCGGGGCCAGCGGGGAGATGGCGGCGGCCGCTGAGGAAGCGGAGGCGACGGACTGGTAACAGCCCCCGTGCCTTCCCCGGTGTCTGCACCCTCCCACGTGCCCGCCCCCTTCCCGCTCCCCGCACCCCCGCTGTCCCGCACCCCCAGTCCGCCGGAGCCGACTGACCCCCGCCTGATCGGTTCCCGCAGGGCGCTGCCGCCGGAGGTGGAGGTGCTGGAGTCCATCTACCTGGAGGAGCTGCAGGTGGCGCGGGGCCTGGGCAGGTACGGCCCGCCTTCCCCATCCCCATCCCCGTCCCGGCCCCGCGCCGCCCTGCTCACCCCGAGCTGCCCCTTGTGCAGGTGGGAGCCCTGGGAGATCAGCATCACCCTGCACCCTGCCACGGCCCAGGACCAGGACTCCCAGTACGTCCGCTTCACCCTGGTGCTCTCCGTGCCCCCTCAGGTAGGCTGCCCGCGCCCCCCGCCCCTGCGCCTCCGAGCCTCGGGCCTCTCCACCTTCCTTGTTGTGCTTTGGGTGTTTCTCTTTTATTCTAGTATCCTGATAAAGCTCCGGAGATCTCCATCAGGAATCCGCGGGGGCTGTCAGATGAGCAAATTCAAAAGTGAGTGTCAGGAGGGTGGGGAGTGGCAGTTCTTTCCTCCAGAGATCCAGGAGGCAGAACTGATGGACAAGCTTTCTGTAATTCACATGACATCCCGTGTCTGGTTAACAGATGGATACAGGTCCCTAAATCACTTTGTCCTAAATCTCTCAGGAGCCACTGGTGCTAAATTTGACACAGAGGGGTCCACCTTGTGGTTATTCCCCTGTGGTTCCCCAGAAATGTTATTTGAATCCCTGGAGCCTTGAAAGTTGCTGGTCCTGCCTTGACAGAGGTGAGACTGTTCCATGTCCTTGGGCAGCCCATTGTTGCCTTTATGCTTCAGTCCTTGGCGGAGTGGAATGTGTGCAGAGACCTTGGTGCCTGCCAGCAGTATGAGAGGATGCGGCTCCCAACAGACCTGCACAGGGGCTGCCATCACATAAACAAAGCCTGTGATTCACCAAAACCAAAGGGTGCTGGCTGAGCTCAAGCTGAGGCTATCAGCAAACCTGCTCCTGCAAGTCCTGTCATAACAAAGGCTTCCTGTGCACTGGCTTGTGGGGAGCCAGGACAGCATGTGAATATGTGTGTGCATGTGTGCCCATCCTGTGCTCCAAGCAAAGCCTGAAGGCCACTGTTCTCCTTTTTTCTCTTGTCATCATGGCAGGATGGCAGGTATGTGGGACAGTGAAAAGGTGTAGCTAAGTTTGTGTTAAGGATTTCTGCTGCTTTGCTGTAGGATTTCCCAGACCCTCAGAAGTGTTGCTGAAGCCAGGCTGGGGACAGAGGTGCTCTATGAACTGATCGAGGTGAGAGTGAGGAGATTGGGTGTGACCAGCCACAGACACTGATCACCAACTGCCCTTGGGCAGGCCAGTGAGTAAAACGTTTTCTTTAATGCTTTCACAGAAGGGAAAGGAGATCCTCACTGACAACAATATTCCTCAAGGACAGTGTGTAATCTGCCTCTATGGATTCCAGGTAGGCATGTGTCTCCTGACCCCACAAACTGACTGGGAAGTGAGGCAAGAGAACAGGAAGTCTGACACTGGGATATCAGCCTGGGACCAAGATACACCCCAGCAGCCCCCTGCCTCCCAGTCTGCACAGGGCCCTTCCTAGTGCAATACATGCTGCTCTTCCCATCAACTTTTAGATAATCTTCTACAAAAAATGGACATGGGGCATGCTGGAGCATCTCCAAAGAAGCATAGGTTCTGGGGCTAGTTGATGGTGCATTTCAGCTTCCCTGTGTTGGCTACACCTCACCTGGAGTTCAGCACACAGGTGGTGAGGAGGGACTAGAACATATCCATGCAGGTGCTGAGGTCTGTGGGGACAGGGGAGCAGGCCTTACTGGGGTTGCAAGGAAAGCCAACACCTGCCTAGGAAGGAGAACACACCAGGTGGGAAGATTGCTGGTCACACAGGAACACATGCAGAGAAATCAGTCATAGAATCTTTGCATATTAATATTGGGAGTGTTCTGACATTTGAAACAAGAAGCAGCATCCTAGTAATTGCTGAGGGAGTGGAACTGCAGCCCAACAGATGATGTTGGGTGGCTCTGCTAGCACTAGCTCCCTATGGATACCACTGACATGGAAGTGAAAACCCAGCTCAGCTGGGTGGTTACACAACTCTTTGCTTAGAAATCCTTCAAAGATGCACTTTTGTCTTGACAGGAGAAAGAAGCCTTCACAAAGACCCAGTGCTATCACTACTTCCACTCCCACTGTCTGGCTCGCTATGCCCAGCACATGGAGGAGGAGATCCTCATGCAGCAGGAGGACAGGGAGCAGCACCTTGCACCATCCCCCAAACAGGTACTGGGCCTTCCTTGGCCCCCTGCACAGACCCTTGTAACATCTGTATCACCCTCTTTGGCACATGGAGCCTGTGCTGAGAATCAACAGAGATTAGACTGAGTTATCTTCAAGGGCCCTTTCTGACCAAACAAGTTGGTTTATTGGATCTCTGGGTCAGTGCCTGCTGTGTAAGGGTAAGGGAGTTGCATTTTTAGACTTCTGGAACCACAGAAGTTAGAAAAAAGGGCTCCTTCCCTAATCCTAGTCCTTGAACTGTGGGGGGTTGCAGCAGGGTAAACACAAATCCACCTGTTTTTTGGGGTGATAAAACCTGCCTAGCATATGTTGGAACAGTTGCCAGCTGCAGAGCAAAATACTCAGCTGAGGGCTGAAGCCATACATGCTGACAGAGGTGCTTTGTAAAGCAGTCAGCTGCTGAAGCACAAATCCCAGCATGCCTCACGTGGAGACACCTTCCACAGCAGTTGTTGAGACACCGGGCTGCTTTCATGCTGCTGGAACCCCTCTGGCTTCCTTACCTTGGCAGAAGAGTGAAGAAGACGACCCTGTTCCACTTCCAGGGTGGGGTTATGGGGCAGTGCATGAGCTGGATCACAGACAGGGTTTGCTATCCTCTCTTGCCTCCCTACAGGAGGTTGGTGTTCAGTGCCCTGTCTGCCGGGAGACCCTGGTCTATGATCTCTGTGCTCTGAAGGCAGCACCGCCCCCGCAGCACCCTCTGGTAAGAGCTGGGGGCTCAGCTGCCTCCTCACTGGGTAGCTTCAACTGGGACATTGTAATGCATGCACACTGTCTCAGGTCCTCCTAGATTTCCCATTCCAAGTGCAGCTCACAAGCAGGTTCAGTTTTATAGCCCTGAGCTGAGCAGATGTGCTGAGAGAAAGGTGATTGTGCCATGGGGAACATCCCTGCACTCACTGGGATACAGTCAGGTCAGGAGAGTGACCTGATGGTAGCTGCTCTGCATCCTGCCCCACAGCAGGATGGCCCAAGGCAGTCACTGCAGAAACAGTGGGTCTGCACTGGGATGGATGCTCAGCTTCTGTCCAGGGATTTCCCATGCATCTGTAGGCCTGGTCAGTGTGGCAGAAGGAAGTGGGTTGCCTGCCACTGTGCAAAGAAGGGTTTGGGGAGTAGCTTCCAGCCCTGCCATGCCTATCCATGCTAGGTGTTGAGAGAGCCCTTACCCTGCCTTGCTTTCTTGTGCTCAGGAGCCATACAGGCCAGATGCCAAGGTGCTGCAGCACCAGGAAGAACTGCGCCTGATTTTCAAGAGACAGCAAGAGAAAGGGGGAATCATCGACCCCGAGGCAGAGAGGAACCGATATTTCATCAGTCTCCAGGCGGTACGGCACTGCAGGCAGAGAGCTTCCAGAGGGCTCTGGGCTGCAGCACCAAGCACTGTCATCTGCTGTGGGACACCCCTGGCCTTTTCTTAACCAGTGGCTTTTCTTTCAGCCTCCAGCTGCTGTGGATCCAGGCCAAGCAGCCACTGTCTCTGAGCTGTCGGTGAGTGCCTGCGCTGCTGATGTGCCCCAGCCGCCCAGCCAAGCCTCAGCTCCTGAGCCAGCCGGGGCATCAGTGCCCAGGGTGGAACCCAGGCAGCCTGAGAGATGTGCTGTGCCCAGAGAGCAACTGAGCAAGAGGGAGAGGCACAGAGGGGAGAGGCCAGGCTCCAGAGGCCGGGGCAGGCAGCTGTGCAGTGGCTCACAGGAAGCAGAAGAGGAAGCCTGTCATCCACTCCATGGCTCCAGGGGGCCCAGGGTCTTCAGCCAGAGGGCAGAGCGTAGACCTGCTGGACGGCACAGCCAGGAGTTTTCAAAGCCTCCCAGTAGAAGCAGGGCTGCTGCCTTGGCTGAAAGAAGGGAGTTGTGCCATGAAGATCCCTCACCAGCAACAGAAACCTTGGCCTTGAAAGAGGAGCACCATGAAGTGGAGAAATGGGGCACAGAGGAGGGGACTGAGGCCCGGGGCAGGAAAAAGGAGAACCTGATGTTCAACCGCAGTGACCACAAAGGTGCCCCCAACTGGCAGGGCCACCACAGGCCCTGGGATTGTGGAAGGTGGGAGAGGTCCAGAGTTCAGGAGCGTGGTTCCTACCCCAGAGCACCAAGAGGGCGAGGGGTGTTCAGGCCCAGTGGACATCGAGAAGCCCATCTTGAGAAGGAGAGTGGCTCCTAGCAGGAATGATGAGGGGCTGGGCTGGGGGAAAAAAGGGCTCATTCTGGAGAGAAAAATGAAGCAGTAGGAAGCAGATACTGTATCCCCTGGAAGGGAGGAGGCAGATGGCACGTGGGACAGGCCTGGGACAGGCCTGGGACAGGCAGTGTTGCCATGGTATGTGCAGTGTAAAGTATCCTAGCATGAGCAGCTGGCTGTTACCAGCATTGGAGAAGTGGAACCCTGACAGATCATATCAGCCTTGGTCTCAGAGGACCCAGAAGAGAGAGGTAGCTTTGGGGACCTGCAGCTATTGTCCCTATAGGTGAAATGCCAAGAA